CCAGCCACTAAATCTATGGCAAATCCTCTCCAACTGGCATTCAAATGCAGTTTCTGTATACTGTTCAAGTCTGCCCACTCTTCTGAGATTTCCCCTCAATGTGCAGTGTCCCCCAACACCTGAAAACTCTGGAAAGGCTTCCTCCTCTTGCAGACCTCTGTGGAGAGCCAGCTAATCCCAGGTGGTTGCAATCACTTGCCTTGAATTCATCAGATTTCTCCCCTTCTGGATCATATGCTATATCCAGCTCACCACCTCCTTGCTGTACTCCCTGAGATATGACTCCGGCTAAGGTCCTCATGCCAGGTACAGCTGGGTTTTCTTTTCCCCAGGTCATTGTAGGAGAGCTCAGCTCAAGGATCCTTCTGGTCCAACATCTTGCTCTGCCCCAGTTTAAAGATTCTTTATCTGACAATTGGCTAAAAGAGTTAGGTGTTGCTAAAAGACCAGGAGTCAGTGAAAAGATATGCTTAAGATAAAGGATCTTGCCTGTAATCCTAGCACTTGGGAGGCCAAGGCAGGTGGACTGCTTGAGCTCAGGAGTGCCAGACCAGCCTGAGCCAGATCCAGGCCCTGCCCCCCAAATAGCTAGACATTGTGGAGGGCACCTATAGTCCCAGCTACTGCTACTTGGTAGCCTTAGGAAGGAGAATTACTTGAGCCCAACAGTTTGAGGCTGCTGTGAGCTATGATGCCACAGCACTCTATAGAGAGTAACAAAGTGAGACTCTTTCTCAATTAAAAAAAGAGAGAGAGAGAGATAAAGGGTCAGTTAATTAGAGACAAAGGAGGGACATAATCAAGTGGTTTGTTATGTATATTGAAGACCTGCAGGTAGGTCTTGCATAGCCTTAGGCCTGGTAATGAGTCACAAAGGACATCTCTAAGAAGGGCTGGAGGCATGATGAGGCATATCTGATCTTTCTCATGGCTAGGAACTCAGTTTTAGGAATCTTGGCCAAGAGGGAATCCAGTCAGTCAACCACTTAGGGAGAGCCTTAAGATTTTATTTTAATTCACATAGGGAAGGTGGAAGAATGTTTGATTCTGTCTTTTTTTTTTTTTTGAGACAGAGCCTGGAGCTGTCCCCCTGGGTAGAGTGCCGTGGCATCAAAGCTCACAGCAACCTCCAACTCCTGGACTCAAGTGAGTCTCCTGCCTCAGCCTCCCAATATAATTCATTAGTAGTGGAATAACATAATTCAGTTTTAGGAGTTAGACCAGCCTGCAGACCTAAAGTTTACAATTTATATGTCTTTGCTTCTGGGAGGCTGACAAGAAATTTCCTTAAGGAATGATCTGTGGGGCCAGTTTGTCCAAGATGTCCAGGGCCTTTACTTCCCCCCATCCCTTTGCAAAAGGAGTTAGGTGCAGTGGTCCTGAGATTTGTATTTTCTTTTACAATACTGTAAAGGGAGTATCACTGAGTGATTATTCCAATCCCACAATGGGATACACAACCTGTAGACCACTTTGAGGTTAAAGAAAGTATGGGGTGGGGGTGGCACCTGTGGCTCAGTGGGTAGGGCACCAGCCCCATATACTGAGGGTGGTGAGTTCAAACCTGGTCCCAGCCATACTGCAAAAACAAAAAAATAGCCGGGTGTTGTGGCGGGTGCCTATAGTCCCAGCTACTCGGGAGGCTGAGGCAAGAGAATTGCCTAAGCCCAGGAGTTGGAGGTTGCCGTGAGCTATGTGACTCCAGGGCACTCTACCCAGGGTGATAAAGTGGGACTCTGTCTCTACAAAAAAAAAAAAAAAAGAAGAAGAAGAAGAAGAATTAGAAGAAAGAAAGAAAGAAAGAATGGGAGATTAGCAAGTGGCAAAACAGATTATGGAAGACAAGAGGTTTGGCCAGCCAAGCTGGTCTTGTTATGTAGATGAACCTCACAGGTAGCGTCCCTCAGAGAGAATAGATGGTAATAATTTCTTTCAGACTTTTAAAGGCCTCAGACTCTCATTTATAATTAATCATTTTCCAGTTTCAGAAAAGAGGGTACCTCTGTGAAAGCTAGGCTGCATCTATGCAGATTTCCTCTACAGATGCAAATTTCCTTCCACAAAAGACAACTTTGTAGCCATTCCTAGTATTTCCAGCCCTTATGAATAGGCCTGAAATGTGTCAAAGAAGTGTATTTTGGAGTGAAATAGTTTGGTTTTCTGCAGGGCCTCATGCTGGAAAACATCTGTGTGTGCATCTTGTCTCTCTAACTCCCTCTAATGCTCTTGAAAAATAAAGATCCCCTCTTTCTTCCTTTCATAACAATTGAGTAACTCACCTCTGGGGGAGGAAATGCCAGAGGAGGGATTTCAGGCACCAGTAACTAGCTAGGAGTAGGGTCTTTCTGCAGGAAGCTGTCAGCTCTGTATGGGGAAAATCCTGGCAGAGAGAAGAGTAAGAACCTTGAGCCTAACACAATCACTTTTCATGTTTCCTCCTCTAACCCCCCAAACAACTCATTAGGATAGAATTTATGATTTTACAAAGAACTGAAGTTCAGAAAGAGAAAGTTAGATGAGGTCCTCTATTTCAGATGATTAGCACAGGGGGTTAGAACCAAACCAACAGCTTGGTGGTTACTGACGCACTGCCCCAGAACTTGTTCAGACCCAAGAGCTGAGCTGATACTGGAGTCTAGTTTCCTCGGCTTTCCACAAGCCTTGTGACTTCCACCATGCCATTGTGCCACACCCGAAGGCTTTCCAACACCCCATGTGGGACCCTGACTCTGTCACCACCAGGGATGGGACATAAGGAAAAGGTCAGGAAAAGTGGCATACAGGATCCAGACCACAGGTCCCTGCTTGTGATGAAGGCGTCACCAGAGTCATCCCAGAGAAACTTGCCTTCTCAGGGCGGCTTTAGGGTGTGGGAGGCAGGGAGAGGACTTTCAAGGTCTCTTTTTGTTGGAGGGTGTCTATATTTTTGAGAATTTCCTGAAATGAGGGCCTCTGGGACACTGGGACTGGTCAGCGAGAAAGGACCCAAGAAAGGGCAGCCCTACCTGGGCAGGAGAGGGGCACAGAAAGCCCAACAGGGAGCAGAGCAGTCCCAAATCCCGCGGAGAAGGAGCCGAGACTGGAAAGCTTCGGATCCTCAGCCGGCGAGAGGTGGGACCGAGGGCGGCCCAGGCTCAAGTCCAGCTTGGGGGCCCAGAGTGGCCTGGCGAGCTGCCCTTCCCTCAGTGGGGTCAGGGTCATCGGGTGGAAGGGGTGGGGAGCTTGGTGGGTGGGCCAGGGTGGGAGGGCGCGGGGAGGGAACCCCGCCCCAGAGGCTTGTCCTAGCGCGGTGGGGCGCAACGGAGTGGCTGCAGGGGTGGGGCGGAGTGGGGGGCGGGGGCAAGCGGGGCACCCACGGCAGGGCGAGGGGGGCGAAGAGCCGGAAGAGGCGGACAGCTCAGGCTGGGATTTCAGCCGCGAACCGTTAGGCGCGACCCCAAGGCGCAGGGAAAGAGGTGAGGAGAGAGAGCGGCAGGGGGGTGGGGAGAGTGGGCGAGTGGAGCGAGCAGTTCCAGGGCCAGAGTGTGCAAAGCCTTGGCCTTAAGGCAACTGCCCTGTTATCTCCTCCCTGAGGGGCCTCAGTTTCCACATCTGTGGCTTTTTGGTCCCAAGACCACCAGTACAGACAGGGTTCTCCAGCAGAGTCACCCCCTCCGGCAACCCCAATCTTGGATTAGGGGACAGATCAGAAGGGCTGGACGAATGGTAGTAGGGAAGGCTCCAGAAAAGGGCAAGGAGGGAGAATCTTGCCTGAAGCCGGCAAGCCTAGGGCCAGGCCGGGACGAGTCCCCCATTTCTGGATAGGAGTAGGGCTGATGGCAGTGGGCAGCGCTGGTGCCGGGAGGGTTGAGCGTCCTGCAGTTTCCACCCGCGTAGGGCCTGTCCTGCGTGTTTACATCCTGCCCCCAAATATTTAGCCTCCAGTGGGTCCTTTCTCCACGCCCCAGGCCTGCTCCTCCCGCTATGGGCCTGGGCAGGGCTAGGGGCAGGGCCAATGGACTGGAGCTGGGGGAGTCCGGCATGGGGAAGAGGGGGCCTCGGAGACCCTGCTGAGAGAATGGGCTAGAGAGAGGCTGAGAGTGGGAGTAGGCAACCGTGCTTCCTTGGGCCTTGGCAGGGAACAGTGCGGACCATGGAGATACCAGGGCTATCTAGAGAAAAGGCCATTTTCCTGCTCCTCAATGTCTACCCAGCATTCTGCCGGGCATGCCAAGTGTTCTACAGGGATAGGGCAGGGGAGGAGGTATCCCCAGGCTGGCATGGAGAGTTGAAGACGCCCCACACGCACACATTTTGCAGGGCTGGAGTGGCAGAGCTGAAGCTATGCGGCTGCTGCTGATCTTGCTGGCCCTGTGGCTGGGCGCCGTGAGCCCTAGCATGGCTGAGCTCACGCGGGCACAACGGCGGGGCCTGCAGGTGGCCCTGGAGGAGTTCCACAAGCACCCACCTGTGCAGTGGGCCTTCCGTGAGACACAAGTGGACAGTGCCATGGACATGGTTAGCACTTTGGCCCCATGTGAGGGAGGAGGGCTGCCCCTTGGAGACAAGCACGTTCCCAGGAAGAGTTTTTGAAGTGCTTAGGCCCCAACCTAGCCATCTCCTTCAAGTGCTATGTAATCCTGGCGAGTCACAGCCAAGAATTGCTTTCTCCATTAGTTGACTGCTGGCCATCCTGTGTTACTATCTGTCCACAGCCCTTCCCAGCTGGGACATTTGTGAGGCTGGAATTTAAGCTCCAGCAGACAAGCTGCCAGAAGAAGGACTGGAAGAATCCTGAGTGCAAAGTGAAGCCCAACGGGGTGAGTGAGAGGCACCTGCTGAGTATGTGCGTAGAATTGGGAGATCCCACTACCAGGAGCTCCACAGATGCTGAAGGCTCAGCCTGAGCCCACAGTTGTGAGGTGGGTGGTGGGCTGGGGTCCTGGTAAGTAGAGAGAGGGGCGGGAGGACTGGTTTACCCTGGACTTACTTTCTTCAGGACAGGGCTCCCCTCCGTCTAAGTTCATCTCAGCCTTTAGGTCTTGGTGGAAGAAGCCCATGGTGCAGGATTTGTCTGGCGTGGGGTCCCCAGGTGGGCTCATTCATAGCAGAGCTCCACTCTTGTCAGCCACCTTGGGGGCAAACTGTTGCCATGGGGGGATGTCTGGGGAGGGGATGCAGTGATCTGAGTTCTGGTTCTCACTCAGGGTACCAGTAGGGGCTCTGTAGGTTCTGTGAAGTCCTGGTTACCTGTGTCTTTTTAGGGAGGGCCCTGAAACACTGCAGTGACTTCCAAACCTCTTATTTTGGGACACTTTCATTTAAATCAAATCTTAGAAAAAATGTAAATAAATAGAAGACAGTGGAGTGGTTCTGGTGGAAGAACCCATCTGGGGAGGATTCTTGCCTTCACACTAGCACTAACATGCACACCCCTGGACATACCCACATGTATGGTCCTCACACATTATCACACACATGCTTGTTCACATACATGCTGCATACACCCCCATCTGGGAAGCATGGCTGCCTACATACAGTTTCACAGTTTGAAAACTGCAGGACTGGCTCGGCGCCTATAGCTCAACCGGCTAAGGCGCCAGCCACGTACACCTAAGGTGGCCGGTTCGAATCCCCAGCCCGGACCCGCCAAACAACAATG